CTTTTAAATTGTTCTCTGTCCTTTTAATTGTCCTTTTAACTATGTCCTCGGAAAAGGATGGCCCTTTAAAGTTATTTTTGGATAATTGTCACTGCAAACATAATTATGTATTAGTTCAGAAATAAGTTCTGCAAGCTGGTTGGAGAAGGGCTGCAGAAGTTCAGGGTCAAGGGCCGAAGCGAGTCCTCCCACAGTCCATGTTGGCTCTCTCCCGGTCCCATCCCTTTGTCCAGTAATAGCCTGCACAGCTTTTTCCACATTCCAGCTGATTGAAGTGCCTCTCCGAAGGCTTCCTTACTAGAGCTCTCAGTTACAAGGTGCTGGGCATATTTTGCATGTTTGGCCCCACCTATTTTGTCTTCGGTTGCGGCCAACACTGGAATGTGACCCCAAGAACTGTCCTGAAGCAGAAACCAGACCTTGTGCCAAAAGGGGGTCAACCAACTCTGTTAGAACATGTCGTTTAGTTGCAAAGTTGTGCCCGACCCATCACGACCCCACAGACACCATGCCTCCAGGCTCTCCTGTCCTCCACCATCCCCTGGAGTCCACCCAACCCCACACCCACCTCCCCACCGACCCCATCCAGCCACGTCAACCTCTGTTACCCCCTTCTCCTTTTGCCGTCAATCGTTCCCAGCATCAGGGTCTTCTCCAGGGAGTTGTCCCTTCTCATTAGGTGGCCAAAGAATTTGAGTTTTGTCTTCAGTTTCTGGCCTTCTAAAGAGCAGTCAGTTGATTTCTGCCATGCAGGCATCATGGGTTGCAATAGGAGTACCCTACACAATGCTAGAAGCAGTCACCTCTGCCTTACCTCTCTATTTCTGCTTGGTACATGGGCAACGCTGGACTCCTTTTCCAGTTCACCTAAGTGGAAAGGGTCTGCTAACTGCTATAACAAGAAATTAAATTTCACAAAGGCAATGTATATTGCATCTGGGGAAAAAGCTGATGCTTACTATCGCAAATCTCTATGGCTGAAATGAGGGATACTTGCGGAATTTGATCTTTGTGAATTCCAATATGAACTGAACTGATCTGGGCTGGCCGGACTAACGCATGGCTCTGAACTTAATTACCTGCCAATTTTTGCCATTCCTGAAGGCTCCGGTGCAGGTCTCAACTCAATAAACTACACTGAAATAAAATGTGTTTAAAAGTAAGTATGAATTTAAATATGGATTTGCATGCATATATAATAGAACTGCAGAACAGTTCTGACTAAATCCCACTGAACTTGGCAGCGACTTATTTCTGAGTACACAGGACTTGTATTATTAAGACCATTGATGAGAAGAAAAAAAGCCACTGCATATTCACGATAGAGCAAAAGATAAGAATGAGAATTTGTTCGTTCGGAATAAGTTCAGATTTCACACTGTTACAGTCGCTGCTTCTGACATACAGGGCCGTACTCGACTCACACTTAACTGCTGAAGTTGGCTTTTCCAAGGGTAAAATACCTCGCTGCACTAATCGCTATAGAATGACAAACTTTCTCAGTTGCACTGAGCATTAGGCAAATCTCTCCCCTCTGCCAGCCCAGTGCAGGATTTCAGTAATTTGCTCAATGTCTGAAAAACTCCATGTTACAGCAAAGCTAGCATTTTATGGCCAGTAGAGCTATAAATCATTTTTAAAATCATGATGATATTACTCAAAGCAGATGTGAAAACATATGTTTGCCATGCTTGTGTAAACTGCTGACTTGTCATACTTAATAAACGCCGATACTTTTGAGTTAACTACATACCATGTTAATAACACCTTTGAAAACTTTCAAAGGAATGTTGGGGTTGTTGTCTTGGTAATGGACTGAGTAATAAGAGGCCCTGTAAAGATAAACTGTAGGGTTTGAATCACTGGGCCTGGGTTTAATATGGATATACAAATATTAAGGAGAGGAATATGCAAAATGCAAGTGTTGTATTTTGTGGGAAGGCAGAGTGGCTTCATTGTGACCATGTTGGGCTGGAACCTGTCCCCGCTCGACCAGGAGGTTGAATGGATGACTTTGGGGCAGTTGCCGACTCTCAACCTAACCTACCTCACAGGGCTGTTGTTGTGGGGAGAGCAGCAGGAGGAGAATGATTGAGCTGCTCTGAGTTCTTTAAAAGGAAAAACGGCAGGGTATAATCTAAGGAATGAATGAATGATCATGAGTAATACTAAATGTGCCAAGACAACTTGCCACTTGTAATCTGCACATACATGTGGCATATCATGAATCCCAGAACTGGTACTCCCTATTTCACATCTACTTGTTTGATCAACAGAGTGAGAACCAACATTTTATATAATTCTGCTACATAATTATCGCTATTCCAAAGGCTTGATCTGAGAGATCAAAACTGGGGGTTATAGGAAACCAGCTCCAAACAACTTTCTTGAAAGCAACTGTCGGACAACTTGCCTAGTCATCACAAGCACAAAAATGATGTCAATTTTGGGCAATGTAATGTAAGTACATCCAGCTCTGAAAACAATTGTGCCTTCTTCACACTTCAAGGAAAGCAACACAACCTTTGAAAATAACTTGCATGCACTTACTTACTCAGACATAGGTTCTACTGTGACTTTATAGGTCATCACCAACACCTTAAACTGGGCCCAGACTTCAACTGGTAGCCAGTGCAGATGGTAAAGGACTGGTGTTTATGGGCATACCTGTTACGGTCCTGGCAGCTCTATTCTGAACCAACTGAAGTATCCAGATCTTCTTCAAGGGCAGCCCCACATAGAGCATGTTACAATAGTCCATTTTTTCATATTTTGGGGGGCTGCAGGAACCCCAGGTGGTACATGAACTACATGCTTCCCGTCTCTATTCCAGAGCAAAGAATGCCAAATTGGGAGTAACCACCACATACCACTAAATACCTTCCCAGTGAACCTCTACCAGCAGTGGGCCGAAGAATAGAAAGCGAGGCCTCTGATGGAGAAAGTTACTGGCAGTTGTAGAGACAGGAAAAGGTCTGCCGCCTTTGCCCCATATCTCCTTGACAGAGAAATAGATACTGCATAGAATAAATATGTGAATATGGGTTTGTTTGCTAGGTACATTTTTAACGTTGACTGCATGAGATGAGAACTCGAATCAGGCTTGGTTTTTTTCCCCGAGACAGGGCAATGCAAGGAAGGGGATTCTGGCGAATTTCAACGAATGGGGCTTACACATTCGGAGGACAGGAGTGCCTAGGTTGGCACTGCTTCCTGTTACAGAGGCAGACTCTTGTACCTAGTTAAGGCTGGGTGCAATCCTGCAGACTCCATAAAGGCATTTAGCAGAAGAGGCTCACAGGCAGGCCTGTATATGAGAAGACCTTCCCGCACAAAGCTGTTGGGGCATGCACATGTTTTTCTTTTGCCGTTAGATGACAGGGAAGCTTGGTAGCAAATGCAGACATCGCTCTATCCATAACAATTCACTAATTGTGCCACATCTGGGATCCAAAAAGTTCGGAAACACAGCAGTGAATCCATTCTGCCAACATGAGCACAAGAGAGAAATTACCTTTTTCCTTTGGAAGTTTTTTGAGGTTTGGCCCAGAGCCTTGGTCCACAGGTTCTCCATCTCTAGTGTTGGATAACACACCTGACAGGTAAGAAAAGAAAGGGAGGGAAGGATAAATGCTACTTTGTTAACTGAAAAATCCCTGCACCAATTATCTGGGAAGGCAAATTAATGAATTAAGGCTTGTTCAATATTTTTGAGATTGTGGTTCAGAAACTGGGAATTCATTTTGCCCTACACGTTTCCTTCCAAGGGTTAGGTTTTATAATAAATACTGCATCACCTAGTGGTAAGAAGTTTTATAGCTGAGCTGTCCAAAAGTTTGCATGTAGCTAGGCATTACATGCTAACACGATGAGGGACAATTTGCCCTGGAAGGCATTCAAGTAAGGGAATACTTGGCTCGAGAACAGTGCAAGTGAGAAGGATCTTGGAATTGTTGTAGATCACAAGCTGAAGATGAGTCAACAATGTGATGTGGCTGCAAAAAGAACACTTGCTATTTTGGGCTGCATTAACAGAGGTACCACTTGCTTCTGCCCAAGTGTGAGTGTCAGACAGAAGCAGCCAGATACCTGCTCAGGTGTAGAGGGTAAGGTCAGCAGCCTTAGGCCTTCCTCAGGCTCAGATTTCCTGGAAAGACAACTCCTTCTGGAGGAAAGAGTAAGTCTGCTTGGTGGTGTGAGATGAAGAAAACCAGAAAGATAAGAGAAAACTGCCAGTGAGCTGAGAGTTCTTTCCTCTGAAATGTTTGAATTAACTAATTAACAAGATTGATTCACTGGGATAATTTTGGATGAAAAATGCATTTAATAGAGCAGATGATTTAAGGAATCAGTAATTATCTGTAATTTTTCTAATTTATTAGAGAGATATAGACAGCTAGATAGTTAACAAGACAAACTGATGGATGACAGTTCAAAAACAGTCAGCGGTGACTCTGAGAAAATAGTTTTTAATGGAGAACTCACAAAGTCATATGGATGTGGAAGAAACTTTATAGTTTGGGGGCTTTTAAAATGACCTCGTTGATTACAATATGAAATTCTCCATACTGAACAGATCATTTAAAAAAACCCCAATGGTAATAATACTTTTGGTAGAAAACTGCAACTTATTTTTATCATCTCAAGGAAAAATCAGCTCAAAATTGCTGAATGTTGGTGGCATCACTGGGGCAAAAAGGACACCCTTGCAAAATACATTGTCCTAGAAGAAATGTTATTTCCACTGCCTGAATGCAACTTTTCTAACGTGCAATGTGTGTGGGGATATAGCTGGGATACCTTCTTACTAAATACACCCAAGAACAATTCCCTCAATTAAATTCCCATGCATTTTTATCTCTGTATGTGTTTGCATCAATTCTGCTTGCTTCCTGCAGTCCAGTCTCCTTCTCCATTTGCCTGCTGTGTGAGGTTTTTCCCACTGGGCTCTCCTACTATTCAGTGGCATCGGAATAAGCCTACCATAATAGATTACCAACCAATTCTATCTGGCGTGTTGTCAAGTTGGGATGGAGAGCTTGAACCGCTGCTACTCTGATGCGAAGAGGCATGACTCCCAGGCCGTTGAGTCTCTTCCACAGACGGGGCGGGTGAAGGGCTGTCTTGAATCCTCTCCTTTAAAGAGAAGAAGCACTTTAAAAGAAAGGAAGACTGGACTGGCGGGAAATAGAATGGAAATGTTGGGCTGGGGGTGACAAACACCACAGTCCTCCTGCCCTGAATCCAAGCGGATGGTACTTCCAAGACACACATGTATAAAGATCTGTGTTTTTTTGTTTTGTTTAGTCACAACTCCCGTGGAAAACATTCCTCCAGGCTCTCCTATCCTCCACCATCCCTCGAAGTCCACCCAAGCTCACCCCTACTGCCCCAGTGACTCCATCCAGCCACCTCCTCCTCTGCCGGCCCCTTCTCCTTTTGCCGTCTATGGTGCCCAGCATCAGGGTCTTCTCCAGGAAGTCCTCCCTTCTCATTAGGTGGCCAAAGTATTTGAGTTTCGTCTTCAGTACCTGGCCTTCAAAGATCAGTCAGGGTTGATCTCCTTTAAGATTGGCTGGTCTGATCTCTTTGCAATATACAATGATACACACCAAGACAGAGAGAGCAAAGCAAAGAGATCTTTGATGGCCCTTGCTTTAGAATGCCTTATTCTGGGAAAAACAGCCTATTCCTCACCCCCTATAGATAATCTAAGCCATGCACTTTGGTTGGCTGTTAGGATCTACCCAAACACACAGCAGGATCGGCTTCCGACATTTTGCAGTAGGTGAAGCGACGCACATTACTATTTCTGTATTCTATTTTATTTATTGTACTTCTATACCACCTCATTGCCCACAGGCTCTCTGGGTGGTCATTACATTTCTATGCCATCCCTAGCTGAAGCTCTCAAGGGGGTTCACAACAGCAAGTCACCCATCCAGATTTCAACCAGGCCTGATCCTGCTTAGCTTCCAAGATTAGGCAGGATCAGGCTATTCAGAAGCTACTATCTAAAGATAGTTATCTTATAAGATACTGTGAAGTAAATGAAAGAACACATGCCCATCAAAGAAAGGAGGAGGCATTATGAGAATAAAGTCCAGACCCGAAAATTACCAACCTGCACCACTCTCAGAAGTCTTCCAAAAACAGGCTTATTTAGGGCTTGTATTTGAATAGTGTTTGTCTGATCTATGCACAATTGCCCAAGAAAAAGCTGCCTGAAATGTGTTTTTAATAACGTAGTTATTGGGCATTCAGTTGCAAGTGAACCTCAGAATCATGCAACAGATGCCTATCTATAGTGGTTAACCCTCAATGGACATGTTTCTTAACCAATTAACTCTTATTCAATGCAAATACAATAACTAATAAAACTTAAAAGAGAAGCATTTAATTGCTGTACTGTCAGCCTGCTAATTAAAAATATTTGTTAAGCTTAAATACATACTAATCTATTCTAGGGCTTTCACGCCTCTGTATCTTGGGGGCATTTTGTGATTTAAATTGGTTTGAAATAAACATTGGATTTTTTTGTCAAGAAATGTGTAGCATATTACCTCAGACATCATGACTGTATCAGGAGGAAAAAATCCAGCAAGTATTACTGAAAGCCCAATATGTGTTAATACAGAAAGCAGTTTCAGTCCAATCCTGAAATGGCAAAAGACCAACAAATATCTCTCTTCCGGAGTACCTCCCATATAATACATACCATTTGCAGGATACTTTTACAGGCCATAAAATCTTATGCTACATTCATTCAGCACAATAAACCAGGAGTCCAGACAGTTGTGGCATTTTGGCAACAAGCATTCTGGTCATGTGGACATTTGTCTCTCTTTTGCTCCTCCTCTGTATTGCAACAGCTACACTAAAGGAGACGAGGTGTTTTAGTGGATTATCTGAACCTTGGATCCTGGCTTGTTGCACTCAAGCAAACTAGGATTCATACGCTGATAACAAACCCTGATTTGCAATCCTGGCTTGCAAGGAAAGCTGCAAGTCAAGTGTGCAATTCTGGGTAAACAAAACTTTCCTGAATCAGAAATGTTAATGTGATGAGGCAGGCTGTGAAATCTCAGTGTCAATCAATACAGCTGGCTGCTCCTCAGCCCCCATCAGAGTGACCTCCAAGGGTGTATGGGACAACTGGCTGGGATCGGACAGGGATGCCTGAAAGGATTGCTGCCTTCACCCGTATGGGCTGGGCTGGGGACACAGACAATGACCTGCTCAGCCAGAGCAGCGAGAAAAGGAGTTCTCCCACTGCACGCACTGCAGATGGTGGGTTCTTCTCCTTCTGTGTAGAGTTGTGAAAAACCCTGTTGGAAGCTGTCCCTCCAACCATTCATGGGCTTCCTCTTGCACTTGGCCCAGCCTTCCACAGCAAACCGAACTGGGAAGACCTCTGTGAATGCTTGCAGATCCTGGCAACTTTGCACAGCAAGCAAGCAACCTCCTTCTACATCCAAGTCCAGAAGGCACCTGCAGCTGGCCTGGAAGGGCAGCGCTGCTGACGTGGCGGTCACAGGAGGCCCCACATAACCCGTCTTCTTCCACATCAGTTGCCACCGACCAAAGTTTGGCTGCTCCTGAGTGTCACTTGCACAGCCATGGGCTGCACGAGCCCTGGCAGTGTTCACCAGGAACGTGGGACTCTGGGCCACTCCAAAGCATGCCTGAGTGGTGACAATCTACAGGCAGTCCTGGGTGGGCCCTGCATCCATCCACGCTCTCTAAGCTCACCTTGTCATTCCTGCAGCCGATGGCTGTAGGAATAACACATATTACTACGGCTTTATTTTAATTTAATTCATAAATTGCCCTGGAAGCAAACTTAGCTGACACTTCCACTGTGTGACTTGTGGTCCTCCAGATATTTGGCCATACAAGTCTCATCGGCCATGGCCAGCCAGTCAATGGGGAGGGCTGATGAGAGATTCAGTCCAAAACTAGTGGATGGCCACATGTCGCCCACCTGTTGTCAGCGCAACGGTAAATTTTGCAGTGGATCGCTCCCTCAGCATGCCTCCAAAGAAAGCATGAAGATGCAGGCAGCTTGGTTAATGCATGTCCATAAACTGATCCTAGCAATTTTCATCTCCATCAGATTTTTTGCAGGGAGTCTCCATTGCCCATTCTAGACTAGACCACCCCTAAAAATGCTTCATTACAGCAGGGATCGCTCGGGATGATGTTGTGGGGAAAAGGAGCAGGGAATCTGGAGGCGGGAGTGGCAGATGGCGGCAGCATCCCACAAAAAGTGTCGGTTTTGCAAGCCCGCAGCTCCTGGCTCCTCTACACCTCTGTCCCTGGTCCAAAGGAAATGGTCCCACGTCCGATGCAAGACGGGCAGGGCTGCAGAATCTGCCGACAGCAAGTCATGACAAAGCATCCTGAAAAAGGAATGCAATCCGGCATCCCTTTCGACTAAGCAGAAGACCGGCCCTTGGTTGGCGGTGGCTTCCGCTTCCCACATGCGCTAGCAATGGGGCTCCCAGAAGGTACGTCTTGGGTCTTGGAAAAACTATGCAGAAGCTGTTAGTCTTGGTGAATACACGCAGAGCTTGAGAGGAGATTCAGGATACGGACTGAGAGACTCAGAGAATGAAAGGCAGTTCTGATGATATTTTGCCATAAAATGTGCGAGCGCTTTCTTCTTTGCGTGTAAACAGATCCATTTTTCAGCCCTGTAATCAGTATGCATCTATTAAGCTACTTAACAGCAATGAGCTGTGGTTCATTAGGTAGCTACTGTTGTGTCTCCATCTAGTTAAAATTTCACAGCAAGTTAATCTATTTTATTACAAATGAGAACACAAGCAATAATGTCCCAGCCATTTTCCTAACACAGGGTTAACAGTATTTGTAACAAATCAATGAGGACATTTCAATACGAAAATTGCAAAGCTCAGAGCCTGAACATCTTTTTACACCTTGATGACTTCATTTTGTCATTTGTGTATTTTACAGCCCCGTCACTCTTTATTTCACCTAATGCATTAAAGGCTGCCTTCCGGATTGTGGATTGCTGCACAACACACACACACACAATGCTTGTAACAACAATGAATGGGATTCCACTCCTGCTGAAGGATTGGGAGTGCGGCCCGGGGGTTCTTCGAGCTTTGCTCCTGCCAGGTTGGTCAGGTGTGCTGCACCACGCACACCCTTTCCTGGATATAGGAGATGGCCAGTGCCATACATGCTGTTAACTTCATCTGCCTCCCTGAAACCAGGACTTGGCCATGTTTCGCTTCCCTGAATTTGATTAGCGGGATCCTGAGTTCCTTCCAAGATCCCCCTGCTCAGGATCTCCCTGCTCAGGAACCTTCACACTACTAGAACCATGATTTGTATAGGAACAAATTGCAAACTGCCCCAGGGGGCCTGTTATTACAGCATCCAGGTGTCTGACGTCACCTCATCTTCTCTCTTCACCTTGTGGCATGCTTCCCATGGGATTGCGATTGCCCCTGCGCACCTTGGGGTAAGCCTGCCACTCAAGTGGAGAGGCAGAGAGTACTAAGAGGAAGCCAAGGATGTCCGAGGTAATGGGACGACGCATGGATTTTGGTGCCATTCCCCTAAATCGGGGCTAAAATTAATAATGCCATGTTTTGTAGCTACATTTCCTGTACTGAATCAAGATGCCATTCTTTAGTAAGATGCAGAAATATATTGTCCGTCAAAGGGGTTTGATACTACAGAAGAAGTCTGAAGGGGAAAGGTATGGTTGCACTCCATAAAGAGAAGACAAACAGTCACTACACAATAGCAAATATGTAGGATCTTCAAAAACTTTTCACTTTAAAACTAACACTATCACCCAAAATCTCTAAATTGCTTTTGGAAGCAAATGCTTGCTAGCCTTTCTTTATACATCTTAGAAAACTTTTTTTGGTATTTATTTAAGAGGATTTTAAAAGCCCATTAGCATTAGTGTATTTTCAGATCTTTGCACCACTGCTGGCTTTTATTTGGCTGTTAGTCTAGTTTTATGCTGTCTTAAACATTTTAATGATTTTATATTATGTTTTATTATCTTATTATATTTTGCAGTTTTAAGTCTCGTTCCATGAACTGCCCAGAGAATTTTGGCTACTGGGCATTACAGGAAAATTACAAAC